ATTACACAGCACTCCAATATATTCAGTATATACAGGGCTCAGCAAAGTGCTGTCCGGTCATTCGGAACAACTACATTTTCCTGTCAGGCATAAAACATTTTCACTCTAACTTGCCCAACAAGCAAGGGCCCAGGAAAGTTGTCTGCCAACCAATTAACAAAAGAGTAAACTAAGACTTGACCAGGGCAAGCAAAATTTGAGAGTTGCTTGTCTGAAGGGCTAGCTGGAATTCAAGTTTGTTTTGAGCCCTGTAAATAGTAACCACAATTTACTAACAGATTTCCTGTTAAAAATAATTGTTATCAGTATAAATAAATTACATGTATGAGTAGATAATCAAACTGTGAGCAGAAAAACTATTACTTTTTTATCTCCTTTTAATTTAATTTACAATATTTGTATTTTATCAGAAGTGGCCCCAAAAAATTCTTTGAAGCAATGGTTGACATTTGTTTTGGACACATTTCAACATCATGTTGCAAAGCAACATCAAGGCATTTCTTCTACTTTTCTCTTTAACAACAGAAATTTACCAGTAAAATGACAATGACAGTTTTTAGTGGAAATACTGTACCACTAATTTTAGTTTAAAGCCAACCAAGAAATGATTCGCTATCACTTAATTAATACACACACAACGTTTCTTCATTGGTGCCAGATTCATCTTGAATCTGGTTTTACAAGTTTACACAATTTGCATTACATTCACACATTGTGGGCTTTTAAAAATGGCTGAATGAACTATTTCCATAGAAAAAAGTTGATCTCAAATAACATCTTTATGAATATCAGTTAAGATAAAATACACTGTATGAATTTGGCTTACCATGGGGGCTTCTGTATCTAGTAGTTCATCAGTTTCAGAGACTTGAGCTGTTCCATTAACATCAAAATCACCTCTTGTAGACAACTCTTCGCTATATTGAAATGACACAGTCTCTTGTTCAAGTTCATTCTTTGCTGATCTGTCTGAGTTGAGCGTGTCCATTGACTCTTGCTCCACAGTTATTAAATTAGATGACGAAGACACATCCACCTCATGACTGCTGTTTGTTGATTCCCTGTGAAATACTGGTGAAGAAGAATGATCTCCATTCACATGCACTGGACGGAAAGTTGATTCATCTAAAGGATCTATACTAGAAAATGTTGTACTGTCTGATGAAACCTTCACTGCTCCTGAAGAATCAAATTCATTGTTATTCTCTTGTGCCTCGTCAGCATCAGCAACAAGGATTGAAGAATCTTCATCTTCGATATGGCCCATTGCACTTTGACTGCCTGAGACTCCTTTGACTTTCTGAAGGATTTCATTCACTTTTCTTTTTGTATCTTCTGGATCTGTTGTCTCTTGCTAAAATCAAATAAAGATAACGAATTTTAAACCCTAAAAAAAGTTTGTCAAGACAAAAACAAGGAGTGCATNCTTTAACAACAGAAATTTACCAGTAAAATGACAATGGCAGTTTTTAGTGGAAATACTGTACCACTAATTTGTAGTTTAGAGCCAACCAAGAAATGATTCGCAATCACTTAATTAATAAACACACAACGTTTCTTCATTGGTGCCAGATTCATCTTGAATGTGGTTTTACAAGTTTACACAATTTGCATTACATTCACACATTGTGGGCTTTTAAAAATGGCTGAATGAACTATTTCCATAGAAAAAAGTTGATCTCAAATAACATCTTTATGAATATCAGTTAACATAAAATACACTGTATAAATTTGGCTTACCATGGGGGCTTCTGTATCCAGTAGTTCATCAGTTTCAGAGACTTGAGCTGTTCCATTAACATCAAAATCACCTCTTGTAGATGACTCTTCGCTATATTGAAATGACACAGTCTCTTGTTCAAGTTCATTCTTTGTTGATCTGTCCAAGCTGAGCGTGTCCGTTGACTCTTGCTCGACAGTTATTAAAGTAGATGATAAAGACACATCCACCTCATGACTACTGTTTGTTGATTCCCTGTGAAATACTGGTGAAGTAGAAGAATGATCTCCATTCACATGCACCGGACGGAAAGTTGATTCATCTAAAGGATCTATACTAGAAAATGTTGTACTGTCTGATGAAACCTTCACTGCTCCTGAAGAATCAAATTCATTGTTATTCTCTTGTGCCTCGTCAGCATCAGCAACAAGGATTGAAGAATCTTCATCTTCGATATGGCCCATTGCACTTTGACTGCCTGAGACTCCTTTGACTTTCTGAAGGATTTCATTCACTTTTCTTTTTGTATCTTCTGGATCTGTTGTCTCTTGCTAAAATCAAATAAAGATAACGAATTTTAAACCCTAAAAAAAGTTTGTCAAGACAAAAACAAGGAGTGCATTGCATGGCCATAAACAGGGGTTTCATCAATCGCTGGGCACTGAACAAATTGACCGGTTGTGAGGATGATTTTGCCTGCCTGTTTGACCATCTAGAGGAAAGCTCTTCTTAAAAAGAAGTTCAGTTCAAAATTGTTTACCAGTCTGTCAAAACCAGTTGCCCTAAGCTCCCGCTGAAAACGTTAATGAAACTCCTGGAACTATAAATCATTACAGCATTACAAAAGCATAGTACCGGTAAGAGTATTATTAAAAAAAGGCAATAATCATAAACGTGCAAACAATATAAAACATTGTATTCTTGGTATTGGACTGGAACTGGCTTGCAATGGAGGCTCACACGGGGGAATATCGTTAAAATGGGATTAATGTCATTTGCATTTGAAAAAATCCCCGCCTTATATACCAAGAATACGAATATGGACCAGGGCTAGAAAAAGTACTGTCCGGTTGTTCGGAACAAGTAGATTTTCTAGGGGCGCAAGTAACTTTTCATTGTCACTTGCCTGATTGGCCATAGCTCAAGCAAGTTGTCTGCCAATGAAAATAAAAAAGAGAAAACTCAGACTTGCCCAGGGCAAGCAAAATTTGAGAGCTGCTTGTCCAAAGGGAAAGATGGAATTCAAGTTTTTTTCAAGCCCTGTGGTCTATTGAACAACAAGAAAAAATGATAAATCTGTAGGAGATTGAAAATATTGCTGGTTTGTTAATCCTTAAACCTGCCATTTCAGCAAACTAGCATAACTAAAACACAGACCTCCAAATGTACACAAGAAAAAAAGGTTTGTAGCAAGGAAAGGTTAGGAAAGATGGTGGACTAACAACTATTACAAAAAACTGAATCAGGTTAGAATAATGGTAGGTACAGCTTGCCTAATGGGCAAGCCGGTAAAGTGGTTTTCTTTGTACCCTGAAAAGTATTTGAACAATCCTTTAGGAAACCTACATTTCCCACTGCAGATGAATTGCTTTCCTCTGTGGTATTTGGGCTCGCAGTTTGTCTTGTTCTGCTCATTATTTGCTCAACTCGCTGAAACAAGAGAAGAAATTGAAAGAACTCAGACATCATTCATGGCCTTATAATGAAACATAGTGTTTAATACATCTATCTTTACTAGGTTGGTAGTGAAAGTTTAATTTAGTTTAGTCACAGTGACACACTCACAAGACAAAGTGAAAAGGGACTGGGACAATGAGGGTTTGTCATGTTTGGGTTCTTCTACACACATTTTACCATTAATGGACCAGTGCTCGATTTCAAAAAAATGAAACATCATTATTGTTCTGTTTTTAATGTGTTGAATTAATTCCTCACTCCTTACCCTTTTTCTCTCTAGTCTGGCAGCTTCCTCTTGTTTTCGCCTCTCTTCCTCTTCTTGTGCTTTCTTTTCTTCCCACTCTCTCATTTTCTGTTCTTCTTCTTCTTTACGCTTCTTCTCAGCAGCAGCCTTTTCAGCATCCTCTCGTTCTTTTTTCTCTTTCTCCTCTGCTGCGATGCGCAACCTTTCTTCTTCCTGCTTATGAAGAAGCTCAGCAAGCTCACGCATCCTTGCTTCTTCTTTGGCCTCCTCTTCAGCCCTCTTCCTTTCCTCTTCTTCTTTTCTCAACCTCTCTGCCTCCTGTCGCTCCTTATCCAGAGCAGCTTGTCTCTCTGCCTCCTCCCTTGCTTTTTTTCTCCGTTCTGCCAAAGCCTGCTTTGCAGTTGCTTCATCTGTAACTCCTGCTTTATGCTTTGTTTCAGGTTTATGGCTTTTATCTGTTGTTGGTTTATGCTGGCCAACTTTGTGAATAGAACTAGTAGAATGAGATTTGGCTAGTTTTCCCGCAGGTGGTATCAATGATTCTTGACTTGTACTGTTTTTAGAGTTATGGTTATCCAGAGTCAGAGCTGAAGAATGTGTCGACGTTGACCGCATCCTAGGCTTGGAAGATGGTCTCTGTTGCAGAGAACCACCACTGCCTCGGCGATTTGCTGCAGATGAGCTGTTTAAATTGCTTGCTGAAGCAGACTTACTTCCCACTAGAGATTTTTTAGGTTGCAAGCCACTGGGGGTGGTAGCTGGAGACTCTTTGGGTGTTGAGCCTCCAGATAAACTGTCAGCGCTATTTCGAAGAGGACTTCTTGCAGTTGTAGCAGTAGAAGGTCTCGCCAGTGGCTTTGGTAATGAAGATGGCCGCTCTACAGCACTGCCTGGTCGCTTAGCACCACCTTCCTGAGGTAGTGTTGGAAGTTTTCTACCCGTACCGGGTTTTGAAAGTGATGCATTTGGCTTAGAAACGTCACGTTTAGCGGCCTGCTCTTTTAGTGTAGCCCATCTTTCTTTCTCGTCCTCCTCCTTTTTCCGCCTCCTCTCTTCAAAGGCGGCTCTTCGTTCCTCATTTTTTCTACGCCTTTCTTCGGCCTGTTTTTCTCGAAGCAGCTTGACTTTTTCTTGTCTTTGATCGAGTGGAGGAGGATCTCTGCCACCACTCAAATTTTCCGTAGATATAGCTCGCCTCCCTGAAGTCGCTCTACTTGCACTAGTAGGCCGAGATTGGGCCGACATAGACTTTGAAGGCGAGGGATTCAATGAGTTCGCAGAAACTTTGCTGCCACTAGTACTAGACGTCGAAGCGGCTGCTAAACATAAATCACAACACACAAAACATTAATCCTTGCCAACAAAGTCTTCACTTTTAGCTGGAAGACAATAATTACTTAAGCTCAAGGTTACCTTTCTTTGCTCGAAATGCCTCAATGGACATCGGTTCTTGATTTGATTCAGCCATTTAGCCAAGTCACTACGTCGCGAGGTGTGCCGCTTCAAGACAAACTTGAGAGCAAACCGGTCCCTTCAGCAACGCCTGGCAGGTAAATAATTGATATGACAACAAAGTTGAAAAGCATCGAGCGCATATCCCTCGTAATCTACGGTTTTCACACCAGAATACATGTGTACAAATTTCACTAAAATCAAAATGGAATATTGAAAAGAATTATTCTTTCCATATTTTTTACGTAATGTTTTAGACCTCGTTGCTCACCAACCAATCATAGCAAACGTCTTCAGGCACGTGATTAGTGATTTTACCGCTGAAAATTTTTTATGCTGGCTCGAAATCATTGCCGACCGGTCGCCGCCATTTTGTCTAACAACACACACTCGCATGTGGAACGTCCTTTCAACGAATCGAATCTAGGGAAGATCGGATTTAGGAGACACCAGAGGGAGATTATGGAGACATTGTTAGAGCAGCAAAGGAGACTTCATGAGGAAAGGGAAAGACTGGAGAATTCTATGGCGGAGGAAATGCTACATAAGAAACAGTCGGTAAGCTCAACCTTAACTTTCTTTCATACGAACATCGCGCGATCATGGCTTGTAAACTTATTCTTATCCTGTTTTTCGGTCTTATTTGGCTCATGTAACACATGTAGTCAATGTGATGGTGGAGGAGTGGCGTACAGGAAAACTGTCAAGTTGGAGATTTCGGAGATAGAGTCATTGATACTGTCAAATGCGAAATATAAGCTTACAGTATTTTACAAGCAGATTACAATTTACTTTTCATTTCAAGTTGTATTTTATTTGACTTTTTCAGGGTCGGGAGCAGATTAATGCTGACCATCAAGTTAAGATTTTATTGGAGGTAATGCTCCATTTTAGGTATATTTGGTACAAATGTAATTGGTTCATGCCTACAGTTAAACTTACATACATGTAAACTTACACCATATATCAAGAAATTTTGCTTTTAACTAGGTTGCAAAGAGGACCAATATTTGAGATTGTTCTTCAAATTTGGAAGGAATTGGAAGCAATACAAATTTCTGAGAATTTTTTTTTTGGGGGATGCTGTTTAGTCTCAAAATCCCTAAGCATGAAAGGAAGATTGGAAATATGTTGCATGGAAATATGTTGCATGTTGTTGTATAGGTCTCTTTTAGTAGGCTAGAGAAACATCGTCATGTATGCATATGAGCACATTGATTACCTTTTCTGTGCTTGATTTCTCTCATGTATACAGCGATCAGCCATAGCTGCAGNCGCTACGCGCTCGTTGGTTATTTATCACTTCATATCCAACGCGGTTTCATGGAATAATTGTTAAGTATTCTCAAGGAAACACACTATCTTCATGATCACAGCATCTCTCTTTACCCAGGAACTTAGTACTGTGGGACTGTTGGGAAAACATGATATGTACAAACTGCGGCATTGAAATCAGGATAACATGTAAGCTCCAGGGGTTTCATTAACATTTTCAGCAGGAAGGCAACTGGTTGTCACAGGCAGGAAAAACTTTTTGAAGTGAACTTCTTTTTAAGGTAGAAATCTCCTCTAGATAATCAAACCACACATGCAAAATCATCCTCATGGACAGATAATTTGCCTGGTGCCTGGCCCTTTTTGAAACTCCTGAACTTGTGGAACCTCTTATCCTTCTTGCTTCTTAAGTCTATGGGACCAGAAATACTTGCTACACGTACATGTCTTTGAATCATTGCTGAGAAAGTAAATTGTGCCATGTAGTATTGTGAATTCAAGCTGCTTTCTGTTTTTTGCTAGTTTACGCAAAGAAGAAGTGGCAGCCCTGTCTGGACCAAACGAGTTTGCTGAATTTTACAGCCGTCTTAGAAGTCTGAAAGATTATCACAGAAAATTTCCCAATGAGGTATAGTTACCTGTCCTTAATTACGGAAGTCACAATACTAATAATAATTATTAATTTCTCATTGGTCTTAGATGTTGCCTACAGTGAGGTCTATTGCGTTAGTGCTGCATCATTCTGATTTCATGAAATCATTTGGGTTAATTCTCAGTAAATTATTATGGGAAAATGTAGTTCCTTTTATAGAATTGAACTGAAGGTTAATGCCAAGCTCAGTGACTGTCAGTAATGACAAGATTTTAGTCAGCTACATGTTATATATTTCATGATCATGGGGCAACAGTAAATATCCAGACTCCCAGATAGGGTTGAACCTTATACATGTACATTGTATGACCTCCAGTGTACCGGTAGGTGGGATGTTTCACTTACAGGTTCAAATCTCTTTTAGAGGCTCTGGCTTTCTATGTCTCCAATTTTCCCACACTCATTTCATAGCTCATTGATTATCAGATCTCATATGATTTAAGTTTGATGACATGTATAGCACACATTTATCATGTTACACCTGGTGACAAATTAGATCTAGAGGTCATCAATCAATAGCCTCTTTCCAAGTTGCCTTAATGAGCCTCTATCAAAGCGAGGCTCAAGTTTAATTTATATATGAATGAAATCTCATTTTCATATGAAAAGATGGGCACCAAGACTCGCTTTGAGATAGAGGCTAAAGGTAATATGAAAATGGCCTGTTAGAAGCATTCATTTGCCAGTTACTTTTATGTACTAGAAATGTTGTATCATAAACCTCGAAAATGAACCCCAGGCTTGTTTTTTGTTTACAGATTTCAACTGACTTGTTTTTGGAAAGGCCTATATTTTTAGGGTATTATTTGTTATGTCAAACATTTCTTGGCTTTCACATGGATGGCACTTTTTGTGTTAGACATTTGGCGGGCTTATTACCAGTGAGCTTATGATCTGAGTTAACTCTGGTGGGGGTCTCTTCTCAGTGTCTTTGAAATCAGTGATGATCATGGGATGCAGTTTTCACTTTTAGTGTAACTGGATCTTGTCTCAAGTGTTTGCTTGTTAGAGATTATAGCAACTGAAAATTTTAAACCATTAACCTTAGCTAATAGTGTTTGAATAGTGTTTGGGTAGTGTTTGGTTGGGTAGAAGAAGTTGTCACCCTGAAGAGTTCCTGACTGCTGTCAAATTTTTGATGTTTTGGCCAAGTGTTTGAACACTTATTTAAAAACTACATATACCAGAGGTGGTTGCTTTATGAGAAGTGGTCACACAGGGACTCAGGTTTGACATATCTAGCATTTTTTTTTAACTAAAGCATTTTGTTTACATCCTCTAGCGAATTGATTACCTCACCTACCTGGAAACATTTGATAGACTGTTTGACATTGCAAAAGAAAAGAAAAACCCTGAATACAGAAGGTGCGTTGGTAAATCTCATNGGGCACCAAGACTCGCTTTGAGATAGAGGCTAAAGGTAATATGAAAATGGCCTGTTAGAAGCATTCATTTACCAGTTACTTTTATGTACTAGAAATTTGTATCATAAACCTTGATAATGAACACTGGGCTTGTTTTTTGTTTACAGGTTTCAACTGACTAGTTTTTGGAGAGACCTATTTTTTTAGGGTATTATTTGTTATGTCAAACATTTCTGGGCTTTCACTTGAATGGCACTTTTTGCTTTGAACATTTGGTGGGCCTATTACCAGTGAGCTTACGATCTGAGTTAACCTTGGTGGGGCTCTCTTCTCAGTATCTTTGAAATCAGTCATGATCATGGCAAGCAGTTTTCACTTTTAGTGTAACTGGATCCTCTCTAAAGTGTTTCCTTGTTAGAGATTATAGCAACTGAAAATTTTAAACCATTAACCTTAGTTAACAGAGTTTGGGTAGTGTTTGGTTGGGTAGAAGAAGTTGTCACCCTCAAGAGTTCCTGACTGCTGTGATTTGACTGTCAAATTTTTGATTTTTGGGCCAAGTGTTTGAACACTAATTTAAAAACTACATATACCAGAGGTGGTTGCTTTATGAGAAGTGGTCACACAGGGACTCAGGTTTAACGTATGTAACATGTTTTTTTAACTAAAGCATTTTGGTTACATCCTCTAGCGAATTGATTACCTCACCTACCTGGAAACATTTGATAGACTGTTTGACATTGTAAAAGAAAGGAAGAATCCTGAATACAGAAGGTGCGTTGGCAAATCTCATTCCTTAGAACTCTCCCACTCCTCTCTCCACCTATAGTTTAATAATCAAGCTGTAACTCTAGATGTGTGAAATCATTGGTGGATTTTGAGTTAAGTTACTTTAAGTTCTCCTTCTTTCTTTAGTCTGTGAAAACAGAAATTTCTTGCTATAATAATGATAAGTATTTTAGTCAGTTATTTGGATTACCATGTGTACATTTTATAAAATTAAATTTATTTATATAATATATTGAATTATTCTTGCATTTTGCTTGGTTCTTGCTTATGATCTATCTGAGGACAGATGTGTAGATGACCTAATTTTAATTTATTAGTTTGCAAAATTAGTCAGGCCAGTATTGTAGACTGCAAAACTCAAAGTGCACCTGTAGCTTAGAGAGGAAGGATTTTTATTTGTAATTGTTATTGGCCAGTAACAACTTGACATTAACTTTTGTCTGTCTTTATCAGGTACATTGAAGCTCTCCTGGACTATTTGTATGATTATACACAGAAGGTCTTACCGCTTTATGACTTGGAAGGGGTACGATTTTTGTTCTTGTTTACATGTAGTCTGTGGTAGCATTTCTAATCTTCTCCTTGGTTTTTCTTTTTTTTTTTTTCAACGGACCTGATTAACACAAATCTTGTGATAAGTAACTTGTTGGTGTAGGTTGATAACTGTGTGAATTCTCTGTCTTTATCTTCAGTTGATAATATTTACTTGCATTATTTCTTCAAATAACTGGTATTCAGTCCAGTGTTGTTTCAATTTCCTTGTTTTGTCTTTAATTTAAACTGTCTTTTCACTTCAAATAATTATTTTTATGTTAACTCTAGGAACTTCTAAAAGTCATGTCAGAATTTGAGGCACAATGGACAAATGGGACCTTTCCTGGTTGGATGGTAAGTTAACAAAACGAAATATCTCAATTTTGTTACTTACAGTTGTCTTTTGCAATATAGATCTGCCTCTGCTTTTATCATAAACAGACAGGAAATAATTCAGTCTTGATAATTCTCACTTTCTTACAAAAAGGAAACTCAATTGATTATTGATCATGTTGTGGCAGCTCAATAACAGTGTTTTTGCTGAATCATCTACAGAAAGATGCAAGCAGTGCTTTAGCACATTCTGGGGCTCATCTGGACTTATCTGCATTTTCTTCACCAGAGGTACGTGGATAATAGCCTTATTTTCTTTATAGCTGGGCCATGTGTTTGTTTTTCTTCCTGTAATTGCCTTGTTTCTTTATTCTGACTGCATTTTCTTTTTATCTTTTTGTCTCCCAAAAGGAGTTGGCCTCCTTGGGACTGGATCGACTTAAGCAAGCTCTTCAAGCCCTAGGCTTGAAATGTGGAGGGTAAATATAAATTATAGCAGTATTAGAATTTTACTCACTGTTAGAGTTTAACTAAACAGGTGGAGTGGAACTTGATTCTTGAAACGTCTCAACTGAATTGTGCCATGGTTACAATGTACATGTAGCTGTGCTGCCCGTTTAAAACTCGTTGCATATGTTGTGCTTCAATTTCACCCTCGCATACAACCTATGCAGTATATTTGGAATTCCTTCCTTTTATATTTATTATCATATATTAACATACACTTGAACAAAGGCAAGTACAAAATTGTATCAAGGGTGAAATTGAACCACAACACGTGACACTCGGTACCCTATTCATAGCCAAAGATGTAATATTTAACAATAAGGATTAGTTTCACTGAGTTTGGAGTTAGGTGCTTTTGCCAAGTTACTATCATGATTATCAGTTGAGTAACGCATGACGAACGTTTGGTGAGCAGGTTTTAACATTCAACTTGTGTTATTGCTCCATTTCCAGTGCCAACTTGTCAGCCTTTGACGTCATTGGCAGTAAAGCATGCAAAATTGCATGCGACAATATTGTTTCCACTGGAAACGAGGAAAGTTGCCCATAGCAACGCTGTAACTTCAAGTCCAAAACTTCCTCACCAAAGTTCTGTTGCACCTTACCCAACTGATATTCGTAGTAAATGACTGGTTTTTTTTTGTTTTTGTTTTGTTACTTTAGAACACTTGAGGACAGGGCACAAAGACTATTCAGTACAAAAGGTAGGGCCTTTAATAAAGAAACTCATGTTTAATAAAAGTACAGACAGGCTGGAGTGGCCATTTCTTGCTCATTTGCAAAAGGAAACTAAAACGATAAGTTGAATTTTTTTTCTCATCTTAGGAGTACCGTTAGATCAGCTGGAGCCCTCTGTTTTTGCAAAAGCCAGGGCAGGCAAGGGACGGGATAATGCACAAAAACAGAAAGATATTGCTGCCATTGAGGGTCAGATTTACCACTTAACAGAAATTCTTGGAGTAAGTGAGAATTTATTGGCTCTTGAGAGGCCCTGCACAGAGAATAGATTCTGACAAGAAAACAATAATGAACACATATAAAGTGAATTCACAACAAACAACAAAATCTAGAGCATCTAAATCTCCTCATTATATTTAATATATTACAGTTCATGGCATCAGTTCCTAAGAAATTCAGAAATAAGGACCACTGAAGGAAAGTTAGTTTGCTGTATTACGGTATCTGCACTGGCAAAAATAGTGACATTTTGAAAAATAAAATAAAATATTTCTACTGTGGCCATCTTGCTGTTACATGCTAACATGACTTACTGATCTTTGAAGATCACGAAATATGACAGGATTTGTCAAGTTTAGCCGTTTAAATTTAAGAAATGTGTAAGGATCAGGTTCTAAAGAGAATTTGAGGTGTTTGCAGTGACTGAATTATGTAAGCCTCTTCTTCTCGTCGTTTCCGTCCTTAATACCTCTATATTTATTGAGAAAAAAGTAACAATGAGGCCCTTCAACAGATGTAGCGTACAATTAATATAAAATGCCATGGTTTATCGTTTTACCTTAGGAACAAAGACAAGCCACGCGGGAGAATGTTGAACGTAAGCAGGCACGAACATCAGATGAATTGGAGGTACAGCCGTGCATATTTAATATGTTTTATAGTGTATTTTCTAACAACTGATATACTTCAAGCCTTCTGCGTGGCTCGTTTTGCCGAGAAACCAAAAAAATGAGTTGTCAGTAAGTTAACGTGAAGTACGTAATACACAACTCAACATGTTTTGTGTTTTACCAACTTACAAAAAAATATTTTTACACTTAAAATCCATTCTGCATAAAGTTCGCAATATACGCGTACGGTCTCAGTTCAAATCATATCGCGAACCACTCGCTGTCAATAAATCGGTGCACCATATGCAGGAACAACGTTAGCCAACCAACTGTTCTTAGCCTTCGGCAATCTTTCTCAGGTGGTCGGTCGTCGGTTGAAATTGGTTTAACTGAACATTTTTATGTGATTGTTATCTTGTAGGAAGAGGAGGAACACGAAGAAGGTCATGAGTCAGATTCTGATGATGAAGAAACTGTTCTTTATAATCCTAAAAACTTGCCTCTCGGATGGGATGGAAAGGTAATGTCATTGTCACTATCATTTTATGATGATGCCAGATTTTGACCAAACTGTTCACCTACTAACCATACTTGCTGTTTCTAGCCAATTCCTTACTGGCTGTACAAGTTACATGGGCTAAATATCAGTTACAGTTGTGAAATATGTGGAAACTTCACGTACAGGTATGAAGATATTTACATTAATATGAACCGACAATGGGGAACAAAAGAGTAGGCACTTCAGCAGAAATGCTATTTTTAGCGTTTGGGAAAACAGTTCCCCCTTCCTTCCTCAAACAGTGTTGGTTTATCTATCTCCAAGACTACACAGTCTAGAGCTCTATGTAGACTACGTTGAATTGNGAGCTTATGATCTGAGTTAACTCTGGTGGGGGTCTCTTCTCAGTGTCTTTGAAATCAGTGATGATCATGGGATGCAGTTTTCACTTTTAGTGTAACTGGATCTTGTCTCAAGTGTTTGCTTGTTAGAGATTATAGCAACTGAAAATTTTAAACCATTAACCTTAGCTAATAGTGTTTGAATAGTGTTTGGGTAGTGTTTGGTTGGGTAGAAGAAGTTGTCACCCTGAAGAGTTCCTGACTGCTGTCAAATTTTTGATGTTTTGGCCAAGTGTTTGAACACTTATTTAAAAACTACATATACCAGAGGTGGTTGCTTTATGAGAAGTGGTCACACAGGGACTCAGGTTTGACATATCTAGCATTTTTTTTTAACTAAAGCATTTTGTTTACATCCTCTAGCGAATTGATTACCTCACCTACCTGGAAACATTTGATAGACTGTTTGACATTGCAAAAGAAAAGAAAAACCCTGAATACAGAAGGTGCGTTGGTAAATCTCATCCCTTAGAACTCTCCCACTCCTCTCTCCACCTATAGTTTATCAAGCCCTAACTCTAGGTGTCTGAAATCATTGGTGGATTTTGAGTTAAGTTACTTTAAACTTCTCCTTCTTTCTTTAGTCTGTGAAAACAAAAATGTCTTGCTATAATAATGATAAGTATTTTAGTAAGTTATTTGGATTGCCATTTGTGCATTTTATATTTAATTATATTTATTTATATAATATATTGAGTTATTCTTGCATTTTGCTTGGTTCTTGCTTATGATCTATCTGAGGACAGATGTGTAGATGACCTAATTTTAATTTATTAGTTTGCAAAATTAGTCAGGCCAGTATTGTAGACTGCAAAACTCAAAGTGCACCTGTAGCTTAGAGAGGAAGGATTTTTATTTGTAATTGTTATTGGCCAGTAACAACTTGACATTAACTTTTGTCTGTCTTTATCAGGTACATTGAAGCTCTCCTGGACTATTTGTATGATTATACACAGAAGGTCTTACCGCTTTATGACTTGGAAGGGGTACGATTTTTGTTCTTGTTTACATGTAGTCTGTGGTAGCATTTCTAATCTTCTCCTTGGTTTTTTTTTTTTTTTTTTTCAACGGACCTGATTAACACAAATCTTGTGATAAGTAACTTGTTGGTGTAGGTTGATAACTGTGTGAATTCTCTGTCTTTATCTTCAGTTGATAATATTTACTTGCATTATTTCTTCAAATAACTGGTATTCAGTCCAGTGTTGTTTCAATTTCCTTGTTTTGTCTTTAATTTAAACTGTCTTTTCACTTCAAATAATTATTTTTATGTTAACTCTAGGAACTTCTAAAAGTCATGTCAGAATTTGAGGCACAATGGACAAATGGGACCTTTCCTGGTTGGATGGTAAGTTAACAAAACGAAATATCTCAATTTTGTTACTTACAGTTGTCTTTTGCAATATAGATCTGCCTCTGCTTTTATCATAAACAGACAGGAAATAATTCAGTCTTGATAATTCTCACTTTCTTACAAAAAGGAAACTCAATTGATTATTGATCATGTTGTGGCAGCTCAATAACAGTGTTTTTGCTGAATCATCTACAGAAAGATGCAAGCAGTGCTTTAGCACATTCTGGGGCTCATCTGGACTTATCTGCATTTTCTTCACCAGAGGTACGTGGATAATAGCCTTATTTTCTTTATAGCTGGGCCATGTGTTTGTTTTTCTTCCTGTAATTGCCTTGTTTCTTTATTCTGACTGCATTTTCTTTTTATCTTTTTGTCTCCCAAAAGGAGTTGGCCTCCTTGGGACTGGATCGACTTAAGCAAGCTCTTCAAGCCCTAGGCTTGAAATGTGGAGGGTAAATATAAATTATAGCAGTATTAGAATTTTACTCACTGTTAGAGTTTAACTAAACAGGTGGAGTGGAACTTGATTCTTGAAACGTCTCAACTGAATTGTGCCATGGTTACAATGTACATGTAGCTGTGCTGCCCGTTTAAAACTCGTTGCATATGTTGTGCTTCAATTTCACCCTCGCATACAACCTATGCAGTATATTTGGAATTCCTTCCTTTTATATTTATTATCATATATTAACATACACTTGAACAAAGGCAAGTACAAAATTGTATCAAGGGTGAAATTGAACCACAACACGTGACACTCGGTACCCTATTCATAGCCAAAGATGTAATATTTAACAATAAGGATTAGTTTCACTGAGTTTGGAGTTAGGTGCTTTTGCCAAGTTACTATCATGATTATCAGTTGAGTAACGCATGACGAACGTTTGGTGAGCAGGTTTTAACATTCAACTTGTGTTATTGCTCCATTTCCAGTGCCAACTTGTCAGCCTTTGACGTCATTGGCAGTAAAGCATGCAAAATTGCATGCGACAATATTGTTTCCACTGGAAACGAGGAAAGTTGCCCATAGCAACGCTGTAACTTCAAGTCCAAAACTTCCTCACCAAAGTTCTGTTGCACCTTACCCAACTGATATTCGTAGTAAATGACTGGTTTTTTTTTGTTTTTGTTTTGTTACTTTAGAACACTTGAGGACAGGGCACAAAGACTATTCAGTACAAAAGGTAGGGCCTTTAATAAAGAAACTCATGTTTAATAAAAGTACAGACAGGCTGGAGTGGCCATTTCTTGCTCATTTGCAAAAGGAAACTAAAACGATAAGTTGAATTTTTTTTCTCATCTTAGGAGTACCGTTAGATCAGCTGGAGCCCTCTGTTTTTGCAAAAGCCAGGGCAGGCAAGGGACGGGATAATGCACAAAAACAGAAAGATATTGCTGCCATTGAGGGTCAGATTTACCACTTAACAGAAATTCTTGGAGTAAGTGAGAATTTATTGGCTCTTGAGAGGCCCTGCACAGAGAATAGATTCTGACAAGAAAACAATAATGAACACATATAAAGTGAATTCACAACAAACAACAAAATCTAGAGCATCTAAATCTCCTCATTATATTTAATATATTACAGTTCATGGCATCAGTTCCTAAGAAATTCAGAAATAAGGACCACTGAAGGAAAGTTAGTTTGCTGTATTACGGTATCTGCACTGGCAAAAATAGTGACATTTTGAAAAATAAAATAAAATATTTCTACTGTGGCCATCTTGCTGTTACATGCTAACATGACTTACTGATCTTTGAAGATCACGAAATATGACAGGATTTGTCAAGTTTAGCCGTTTAAATTTAAGAAATGTGTAAGGATCAGGTTCTAAAGAGAATTTGAGGTGTTTGCAGTGACTGAATTATGTAAGCCTCTTCTTCTCGTCGTTTCCGTCCTTAATACCTCTATATTTATTGAGAAAAAAGTAACAATGAGGCCCTTCAACAGATGTAGCGTACAATTAATATAAAATGCCATGGTTTATCGTTTTACCTTAGGAACAAAGACAAGCCACGCGGGAGAATGTTGAACGTAAGCAGGCACGAACATCAGATGAATTGGAGGTACAGCCGTGTATATTTAATATGTTTTATAGTGTATTTTCTAACAACTGATATACTTCAAGCCTTCTGCGTGGCTCGTTTTGCCGAGAAACCAAAAAAATGAGTTGTCAGTAAGTTAACGTGAAGTACGTAATACACAACTCAACATGTTTTGTGTTTTACCAACTTACAAAAAAATATTTTTACACTTAAAATCCATTCTGCATAAAGTTCGCAATATACGCGTACGGTCTCAGTTCAAATCATATCGCGAACCACTCGCTGTCAATAAATCGGTGCACCATATGCAGGAACAACGTTAGCCAACCAACTGTTCTTAGCCTTCGGCAATCTTTCTTAGGTGGTCGGTCGTCGGTTGAAATTGGTTTAACTGAACATTTTTATGTGATTGTTATCTTGTAGGAAGAGGAGGAACACGAAGAAGGTCATGAGTCAGATTCTGATGATGAAGAAACTGTTCTTTATAATCCTAAAAACTTGCCTCTCGGATGGGATGGAAAGGTAATGTCATTGTCACTATCATTTTATGATGATGCCAGATTTTGACCAAACTGTTCACCTACTAACCATACTTGCTGTTTCTAGCCAATTCCTTACTGGCTGTACAAGTTACATGGGCTAAATATCAGTTACAGTTGTGAAATATGTGGAAACTTCACGTACAGGTATGAAGATATTTACATTAATATGAACCGACAATGGGGAACAAAAGAGTAGGCACTTCAGCAGAAAATGCTATTTTTAGCGTTTGGGAAAACAGTTCCCCCCTTCCTTCCTCAAACAGTGTTGGTTTATCTATCTCCAAGACTACACAGTCTAGAGCTCTATGTAGACTACGTTGAATTGAGAGGCTTAGGGAACCAGAGAATTGTAGCTAGATGCTTTTGAAATGGAATAAGGGATATGAACTACCCTTTGATTTTTTGATTGGATTCTTGACTGCGAGACGAAATGAGCTACTCGTTGTCTTAGTGATTTTCGTTCCTTTGTCCGACATGACAACGTTTTCATTTCCACCCCTTGTTAATTTGAGAGCAAGAAATAAAAAAGAAAGCTTTCGTCCCGTTGTGCAGAGCGCACAGTTAGTGTTACTTCTCCACAAAATGAATACACCCATGCATTTTCTTTCCTGCAGGGGTCCGAAAGCATTCCAGAGGCACTTTGCGGTATGTATCTTTAATTTGAAGTACGACTGTTCCAATATCACGTAGTTAATTTTGTGTTTGTACTTGTGTCGCATACTCGCCATTTGTGAAAGTGTTTTAAAACTTTTTCAGTTTCTTGGAACTTATTCATTTGCTATAGGGGGCCTTATTTTGCGCTTCAGGCAAAGTCTATTTTTGCCTTCTGATATTTGTTTCCGATATGGATTTGGTATACAGAGAGAATTTGAATTTGTGATCTGTAACTGTTACAGATCAGCACAACTTCACGTTGAGTACAGAGACACTTGCTATCGATCGACAGAAGGCCCCTTTGATCGTGCTTACTTTTTGTCACTAAACTTCGAGCTTGAAGCCAACAGTAATTCATAAGTGGAAGTGGAATACAAGTGAGGAAAATGAGAAGTCTGTTAAAGGCTTCTGGTAAGATGAAGTGCTTGTATTAACGTTAGGTGGCCTTGATTCTTTCACAGGAATGGCGTCACGCTCACGGCATGAGGTGTCTTGGAATCCCAAACACAGCACATTTTGCCAACGTCACCCTGATAGAGGATGCTGTAGCATGTACTATTGACTTATTTTACTGTTACATAATCAGACACCGTAAAATTCCGAAAGTACCGACCCTCGTTATTTTCGGAATTAGTAGCTTTTGCGCCTCACCACTTTCGGGGAAGGGGGGTGAGGTCGTTAATTTCGGGATCTATGAGCCGTCACAATTTCGGGTGGTACTTTCGGGGGATCGATGCTTTCGGAATTTTGCGGTAACCCAGTTATAACTCTTCCTTTGATTGGTCGATCTCTGTGTAAATCATTCACGCTATATAAACAATATCCTTCGTTCAATTTCTTGCTCTTCTCTTGATATGAAAGCACATTAGTTCTCGCAGATCTTAGCGCCTTTTGTTGTAATGACTTGACCCTACTGGACCCAAACCCACTTCAGTGGATGAACGTAATTAGAAAAACACTCGATTAATTTCCATGTATCCTTCACGTGTTTGGCTCTTCTTGTCCTGGTTTTGCATTTCACTATTTTAAGTGATTTTCGCTAAGTGTTTTCGTTTTTTTGTCGTTTTTTTTTCTATTGAGAGTTTGTCCACGGGTTTTCTTTTATATCACGGAATTCAGACTTAAATGACAGATTGTTTGCGTTGTTGTTTTACAGTGTGGCACAAGTTGAAGGCTGTCAAAGCGAAAGAACGCTGGCTCCCTGATCAAGAGGTGAGATCAATTTTAAAAAGCCCTTTCTTGTAAGTAACCTTTGAAGAGCTGAACCTTGATAATCATGCTCAACCATTGATTACAAGGTAAAATGTCACCAGAAACTATTCAAAACTCGATGAAAACCACGTTCACCTGCGTACCAGTAAATGAAGTGATTGCTTTGTTTTCTTATGTTTATTTTGCGGATCACGTGATATATTCTTATGACCTCCATACCTAACTTTGCATTGATCATAAGCAGAAATTATATAACGATCACCGCGCCTGTCATCCTACAACCCAAAATAAAACCTCATGGACTAATGTATAGACTGCGGGTAGTCCCTCTTTCGCTCAGTCCGTCGAGCATGAACGTAGATAAACCGAGAGGAAAAAATGGTCGCGTGAAATCCTAGGGCTAAGAAACTTCTCGCCCCCAGGATTTCGCGCAGCCATGTTTTCCTCGCGGTTTTCTTTCGCGTCACGCACGACGGACTGAGCGAAAGAGGGACTACTCGTAGTCTGACTGATGCATGAATCAAAACAATGATCAGTGAAAGACTAAATATTTCCCATTTTGCTCCACTGCAGGAAGAATACGAAGATTCTCTTGGCAATGTTGTCAACAAACGAACGTTTGAGGATCTCAGTCGCCAAGGACTGTTGTGAGAATATCATCACGTTGTCGTACCTTCTTGTCGCCATCTTGGAAACCCCTAGTTTTGGAATGTAACTAACCGGTCTCAGGCTTTTAGTTGTAAAGTATGCTTTAATAAACAACTCTTTTATTTCATGTGTATTAGTCATGAAGTTCAATTATGTTGCAAACTGTCAAAAACATGTAGCGAAATTTATGTTACATTACTTGCAAAAAAAATTGGACCATTTTAATTTCGGACGAGAAAAGTGTCCGAAATTTTTTAGCTTCCGAAATTTTAAGCGTCCGGAATATTTGCAGCACAGTAGAAAACTTTTAAGTAGCTCCAAAGCCGCCAGTTTCCTTTATGCAGCGAGCTCTAGTTGAAACACGGATTGAGATACGTAACGGCTTGATAGAATTTTTGTTATTTTCTCGTCGGCATATCTGTACAACCTTGAGGCTCAGATCATTTTTCAGTCTAAAGCGCGGTTTGTAGGCGTAACTTAGCTTTAGCTTTGTTTAAGCAAAGTGTCCGAAATTTTTGTCCGAAATGAGATAAAAAGTGTCCTAAAATTGTACGTCCGAAATTTTTTGCAAGTAATGTACGTAGTTTCTCGGGGTTTGTCTTCTTGCCGTGTTCCAGTTGAGTTACAAAGACAACGAAAGATGAAAGAGCTTAGCAGCTGCACTGTTAATTGATTACAACGCCTTATCACTGGTTACAGTTTGGATGTGTCTAGTCTTGCTCAGAATCTGATTGCTGTCTAGCTTCACTCTTGACAATTACATAGTCTTGATGGAAATACCCCCTCACACCGTCACATGTCCCCTGAAGGGAAAAAGAAAAACAACAGTATTCGAGATTTAAGATTCAAGATTCTGTTCATTTGCCTTTTTACCTAATATATTGATTATTTATAAATATTTCAATGTATAGCGAGGTGACCTCTAGAAACCACCAGGCTTATGATTCAGGCCACCTCGTACGTAACAATACGGTTACATAGATAGTGCTACAGTGTGCGGCTTTGCCAGTTCAGTAATTATTTTACTAAAAACTCTAGCGGTTTTTTTCTTAAAATTGGGAAAACTTGACAAAGAAGTGATTGTAACAGGGAGGGAATTCCAGCTATTTGGACCTTGGTAAAGAATTGTGAATTTTTTCAGATTAGTCCGGCAATGATGCACGCGATAATTATTGGCTGTTCTGGTGCTATAGCCATGAATTTGACTGTTTGTAAAAAACAAGTTGAAAAACAGTGGTAATTCGAGGTCGAGTGAGTGTCGTGTTATCATTAGATAAATGGATCTGCAGACTTCTTTGACAATGTTATGACGAAATTCATTGTCATTAAGAGGACAGACGCATGAGAAACTGACGCCAGTTTATTTTTACAATAACAAACTGTCGAATTGTTCGCTCTCGCTCGTGCACGCATTGCGTAAATTTTAAATTCATGTGTCTGTCCGCTTACTGACAACGAATATTAGCCAACGAGCGCGTGATCATTTCTGCAGTTATTGTAAATTCCTATTTTATGGTTGTCAAATCCATAATAGACCAATTTCGATACATTAGAATTCAGCCCAACACAATGGACCTCAGCACGAGGCTCTGGGGAATAAACCTCACTAACTCTATAGTTACTGCCCAGAGCCTCGTACTGAGTGTTTTCACAGATCTTCAACAGCACGAGAAGAGCATTTGAAAAAGAAACGCTTTAATGCTAAAGAGATCCTAACCGTCGCGTTACATGATACAACTGACTAAGGACGCATAAATTACGACACACTTATTCATGCTCTTATTCACTCATGCACATTCTTGTACGTGCATTCTTGTACACGCTGAATCTTAAGGCTGAATTTTAACTTATCGAAATTGGTCTACTCTCACGACTATCACTGTAGATAAGTTACTTTAGGCTTTTAATGCGTCTGCTTATGAAAGGAACTGCGCTATTTTTTTAATTAAGGCTTTATTGGGTTTCAATTGTCTTACACATATAATTGCAAGTGAAGAATGATCATCGCAGTTA